GGGGTAGGGGGGTGGGGGGTGGTAATGGTGGACACACCCTTTAAAGTGAAGTGATTTTGTTCTACCTTGACTGCTTTCCCATTTCTCTTTCCTTTCTCCTTTCCCTGACGTTTATAATGATCAGAGCCCCTAATTGGCTGATTAGTAAATTTTGAGAAAGAAAAAGAAGGTGGAAGAGGAGGGGACGCAGGGGGAGGGGGAGAGACAAGGAGAGAAAGAAGCTTAAAGATTTAAAGAAACCTGGTTCTTTACTCTCTGAAACAACATTTATGTGGAAAATCATTCTCTGTAGTTAAGGGTTTATGTGGAATGAAAGCACCTTTTCCGCTTTTCACTGGAAGAGTTAGTTACCTCCTAATTTATGATTGCACTATCATTAACATGCAAATTGAGATTGAAATATAATGTGAAAAACTTGACATTAAGGAATCAGCTATTTTTCACTAGAACATGTTTACATAAGTCTTTTAATAATAGTAAAACAGAAGCTGTCTTTACTGAAAGCATATTATTGGGAGAAAGTTATATTTTTATTGGTTTGGTGGAAATTGTAGTATTCTAAGAGTACTGAAAAAAGTGTGCATGTAGGTAAAATTCTCCTCTCAGTTATTATTTACCATTTCAAATGTCCTGACATGTTGATGATTTTAAACTGTTTAGAATTAGAGATGGAAATTTAGCTTAGCGGTAGACCAGTTACCTAGCAAAAGGGGAGGCCTAGGTTTAATCTTCATTCCACCTACCACCATATTTGTTTTTGCCCTAAGGAGCTCTCAGTAGTTGAGCTTTTCTTTTCATGTGCACGCACACATTATGAAAAGTTGTTAGAGAAGTTCAGGGTTGATTTGCTTTACCAACCCAAATCTCAGAGTTGTAAGCTTTAAAAGGTTATGAATTACATAATACTCCAGTACCATTATTATCACTCATCTAGATTTTTGTCACCAGGCTATGGGATTATTGCATTTTAGAGTTGGAATGAGTCTTAGAGAACATCTACCTCTACCTTCTCATTGAACAGAAGGAATCAGAGGTCTACATGGGAAAAGAGACTTGTCTAGGGTCAAATAGGACGTTTCTGGCTGAGCTTGAAACAGGTCTCCGGGTTCCCAGTTTTGTGTTCTTTTCTTCTTTCCAATCTTCCCCCTATTTAAATCACATCAAAGGCCAGAGGGCAAATGCCAAGTACTATATTCTGTTAGAGACTGTTTTAATGCAAAATCTGTGCTCTCCGAGCCTGGGTGCATTCATTTTTAAATCATTCTTCAGTGGCTAACTCAGAAGGCATATGTCTTAGTTTTATTTTTATGAGCTCCATCTTTCTTTCGTGAATGTATTATTAACATGTCTTCTTTCTGTTCTGAAAGTTCTCAGGGGAATAATGGTGTCCTGAATTTGGAAATGGAAATGACTGTAGGATCTATTCGTTTTAATCTCAAGGCTAGGAAGTACTGCCCTTTCAGTTCTCCAAGATTCTGGTTCAAAGGATTGTTCAAAATAGATCTATTGCTACTATAAACACCTCTGAGCCTTAGCCAGTTCATTACTTTCATTTTTATTGGTCTCTCTTTGAAGGATTAGATGTTTTGCTCATCTTTTTGCTTTCCTTTGTTTCTGATACACATGCCTTAAAATTTACATGTAGGGAAAATTCTGTTAGTTTTCTTACTGGGGGCTGGTTATTCTTGAACTTAGAGGGTTCATCACAAATGGCTTGTAAATCAGGATCTGATTAGGGAGTAATATATTCATCGGTAACTCCTGTATAAAAGTTATTCAAGTATTGTGACAAAGTAAGTGTTGTTTACTTTATACATTTTCTTCAGATTGTAAAGATTTCATCTAACTTAAAGGCTCTCATGGAATCTCAGGGCTTGTGGCTTGCCCACTGAGAGTGGAAAGGCTGGCTAAATTAAGTTGATTTGCCTGTGAAAGAAATGCTTCCATTATTCATGTCAGAAGCCTGTCACATCAAATTGAGGGAGTGGAGAAAACCCTTTTTTATCAACATTTAGAAGCAAGAAAAACCAACCATTGAGGGCCTGAATTTCAATTGGGGAAAAAGTCAAGCTGAAAGCAGGGTTCAAAAAGGGGGGGAGGTTGGGTATTTGTCTAATGTTGAAAATCAGCAGAAGAGATTGATTTAACTTTGGCTGAAACTTTTTTATATAGACAGAATGAAACTTCTTAAAGCAGCAAGTAGTACATACAATCTTGGTGTCTTTCATGTGTAAACTTGTCAAAAGTAGTTAAGCTAATTTAAATTTAAATCTCCTTGAATTCCCATTCTTGCACTCTTAATTTGTTTATTTTAAAGGATTTAGGAATGCATTTCTTAGAGGTTACTTTTCAAACATTGATGAATGTATTTTGTTTTTCAGAGTTCAAGATGATAGGTTCTGTTGTGTGATTAGTCCTTGTATTAAGAGAAGGAAGGCAAGCTAGTCAAGTACCAGCTCCATGTTTGTATCAGGTATGTGGGTATTTGTCTCAGTATGGTGTATTTTATACAAGCCTGA